GGTGTGATGAACTGACCGCTACCCCCATTACCCGTCCCCCTGTGCTGCTTGGAGCAGAGGAGTTAGAGAAAACTATGAGTAAAGTTAGGCCCGAGAAGAAGTGAGGGGTAGGGGAAAGGTGTTTTCAAGATTTAGTTTTTATTTCTCATTATCCTACTCTGATTTGATTGGTAATAAATTAATTCTTTTTTTTTTTTTTTTTTTTTTTCCCCCCCAGTTTTTTTTTTCCCGAATAATCTCTCCCTGTCCTTATCTCAACCCACGAGCTTTTTGCTACATTTTTCTCTCCCCTGTCCAGCCGAGGAAGGGGAGTGATAGAGCGGCTTGGTGGGCACCTGGCGTCCAGCCAGGGTCAACCCACCATAGCTACCCACCACACTGTAGAAATGGGGAAAGCATCTATCACTAAAAAGGCTTCAGCTGAGCTAATCTTCCAACTTGTTTAAATGCAATCTGTGTGAAGCACATTTAAAAGATAAACCAAAAAGCAAACCCATGCATTTTACAGACTCAAAACAAGATTGTATCCTCAAAGCATTGTCTTAGCTACAGATCAGTTTGAGTAGCAGTAAGCAAACAGTAGTTTCAAAGGAAAGAATCCATACTATTTCAGTAGATGATATAGACCACACACCTTCTAATATACCTGCAAATTGGATCTTATTCCCAACTGGGGTGGAGAAACTAAGGCACAACAAAACTCATGCATGAGCAAATGTAACTCACCTACCATTGGCTTAATATCCTGTAGGGTTATTCCATGACTCCTAATTTCCCCGCACTGTGGGCAGTGAAATGGGTACCCAGGGACAGTCAGCACAAGTTCTACATTTCCCATCAAATTGCATGTCCACATGCATTTGTGACAGCAAGGCACTAGCACATGCTTTGGAGTTTCACAGCTACAGATAGTACAGAGATGAAAACACAATTGCTAATCAGTGCTGTGACTAGCCAGCAAGAAGATGTGAATTGCAATGGAAGCTGGAATGATGAGAGGTAAATCCAAATCCTCTTTCTCCATTGGAAGAAAAAAAAAAAAAAACAAAACCAAAACAAACAACAAAAAACCCCAAAAAAGACTTGGAAGGTATTGATAAATATTCCACATGTGGCAGCTTGTGAAGGAGGATTAACTGTTACTAAACAGAAATGGACGTACACATCAGGCAATAAACTTTGCAAGACAGAAACAACCTGTTTAGAAAACATTCAGACTCTTCCCATATGTTATTGAAACCCAGAAAACACAGCGGGTTTTAGCACTATTTTACTTGTATTTACAGCTAAGTTCAGAGAAGAGAAGGAAAACAGCAACAGGACTAGATGAGATTTCATGGTGAAATTTCTCTGCCACAGAATAGCTATTTAACGGGACATGACCCTACACCCTTTCAGTGGTGGACCCTCACTTGGATCAGCTAGATTGCCACACCTCCTGTGACAGTTTAGGAGCTTTCAGGATCAGAAGGGATTTTGAGTGAGCAAGGAGGATACCTGAGGTTTGCAGAAAATTGACTGCCTCTAGGAAGATTATATTAAGGCCATGTCTAGACCCAGCTAGTTCTTTATAAGTATCTTGAGATGTGCACTTTTGCTTCATCCACGTGTCTTGAATTTCAGCTGTACCCATTTTCAGTCATGACAGACACCATCTTGTCCCATATATCTGACGTGGTCATGCAAACATTGTCCAGCTGTGTCTTCTATCAACTTACTGTTCTGCCCTGCAACTGTCTGTTTCCTCTCTGTTGCACCAAATGCAAACTATTTATCTTTGCTTTTCATAGCATAATTCCAACCTATCTACCTGTCATGACTCTGGCATTTGCCCTGTCAAAAATGTCAAACTCCTCTGGCTGTAGCCTTATATTTTTCAAACAAGCACATTATTGCTTCTTTCCATGTCACTCCTTCATGCCTGCGAGCATTCAATTTCTTCCTCTTTTTAATCTCTA